TACGATAATCAACAACCGCCGTGACCCTACTTGTGCTTGAGGCTACGTGGTGTGTGGCGGTTCGAAACAGACACCAACTCGTCTTAGGGCCCGGTGGTTCCTCAGCGCCCTGCCGAAGACTTGCGTAAGAAAATGACCATACAGGCCAAGGTTATCTAGTTATCGTCCCGTCAAAAGTTGAGGTGGTAAGGACGTTGGTTTACCTGCTCGAATTTGGTGTGTCGTTTCATTCTCGGTCTCTTGTGACTTTGCCAAGGCGTCACGAATGCGAGCCAGAGTCGTGGCCCAAGCACCTCAGGCGCTCAGCTCGGGGTGAGCCAGCCAAGCTGGGCCAAGACGGAGAACGCCAAGTTCTCGCCGGTTGCCGAGTCCCCACTTGGACGGGACGATCATGCTCCACTGGGAACCTCTTCCCGAAAGAAGCATAGCCGCATTGATGTCGGTTCAATTTCTGACGAACATATTGACCGCAGGACTCCATTCCGCCCTACCACCCTTTCACGCTCTACGAGTACTCGAGTCATCAGCGCGTTACGGCCTGGCCCTCAGCACCGAGGTTGGCCCTAGGAGGTCGCAACGAGAGATCAGACGAGGTCGGTTCACCGCCTCGCCAGCATGAACGGGAGCAAAGGGTACGACCAGCTGGACTGGAAGCACGGGATAGCGGAACTGCCTCCGGTAGTGTTCGAAGCCTAAATCCTGCTAACTGTTCCCCAGTGGTGGTATTCGTGCACCACAGCGGCCCTTGCGGGTCCACGACGGCTGCACGACGTGAGAAGCAGGTTGCCCATTGTTGTCTGTGTGCCAGGCTCGCGGCTGGGCGATGTCCTGTGGTGTTTGTCGATTTGTCTTCCTACTAGCGGCCATGGCGGCCATGCGGAGAGCAGGCCAAATGCCGACAAGCTTCTCGAAACGAGCCAGCACGTCTTGCGGATTAGCCTCACAGTTTAAGCGGCATTCAACCTCTTCCCCGCCATCCCCCATGGGCACCGAGAGGGAAACCGGGAATCAGGGTCACATCCGTCCAACCACGGGTGCTGGCGAACCATGTCTTGCCGTGTCAGACCAGGACCCTTGGCGGCACTCACACGCCATTGTTTCATTGGCGCCTCTGCAAATCCTCTGTAACGTCGAGTCTGCTGGTTCGCCGCGGTGGAGCGTCCCACAGCAGACGCAAATTCCTTTTTAACATCGAGGTCCGTTTGTGACGCGTTCTTGGTCTGGACTCGATGATGTAGGCCCCATGCTTGAGCCAGTTCCAACGAGATTCCTTACTTCTTGAGTCGTTTCGGTGATGAGAGACGGCAGTTGTTGTCGATGCACAAAGGCGGCGCACAAGTCAACCTCTTTCTCAAAGCAAACCCCTCCCCGCCTCCCCACTGGCTTTGCGGAGGCGGAACACAGAAAAGAAGCCGCGAGTGTTGGGCCGTGTCTGAGTTAGCCGCGGGGGCGTGGCCGGCGTCAACGATCAGCAATCGGAACGCCATTTCGGACGACCGTTGCGAGGCTTAGTGTCAAAAGCAATTCCAGGGGTGGTTGTTTGCTTGCCTGCCCGGGAATATCTGCCCGGGACTCCTGCAAGATGGAGGATCGAGGCGAAGTTAAGTCAGGAAATCGCCGACTGACCACGCGATGGCGTCAAGGTGGCTTGAGACGTGACTCTTGGTCCGCGCACGCCAGGCTGGCCAGACCGGGTACGCCTCCTTTTTCCATTGCTCCTCCGTCGAGGAGTCGGCTCTCCGCGGTTGATTGCCCGAGTTGATTGGACTCCGGTTCTTCATGATGACTTTGATGAGCTGCAGCCACCTTCGTGTGCAATGTCCACAGGTAAGCCGGCAGGTATGTACAGGTAGTCCGCCTGATGCAAACACCAGCCAATCTATCCCCAGACGCAAGATGTTTATTTGTTGATAAAACCGACCGCTGGAGGCTTGGCTAACCGAAAAATGTTAAATGACCTCGAGGGGCGCTAAGGCCGAAGGAAGTCACTCGAGGTTCGCGGAAAATGATGAGTGTCACAGAAAGTCAGAGGGGGACGGCACGGTTATTTTCAAGCGGAGCAAGACAATTCAAAAAGTGAGAGAAGGTTTTGGTTGAACAGAGGGGACCAAACAACGGGCTTCTTTGGGGGTTCTTGGGGTTCCGCTCAGGCTTCCTAACGCCAATAGGGAACGCGCTGTGACTGCCGTAACCGGGGGTTGGGGTACCCGCCCTGCCGCCCACCCACACCTCCCATGGAACACAACGTCCCTTCGCTGTGGAGGCGGGGATTCCTCCCTCAGACGGAAGGAACTGTAAAAATTCGGTCTGCCCTGTGGTTGCTTGCCGTGCTTGCCAGTGCTTGCCAGTGCCAACCACTCCAAAGGGCTGTCAATGACAATGGCAGAATGACAGTGGCAGCCTGTACGTACTGTACCTGCCCAGTCAGGCAGGACCCGCCCCGTGGAAGCGCTGCCTCCGTTGAACCTGGAAATTGATGATTTTTGTGGGCGAGATCGGCCACGCAACAATCCAAGATCATCGCTTTTGCACCCCACTCCGTTCGTTGCAGCCAACAAGCTTATTCTCTTGAATGCCGGGTTTGTGGAATAATTCGGCTATGTCTGAGGCGAGCTGCGCGATGACATCCTGAACTGGAGGAAACCGCGCACCCGGCCCGTGGACTCATGCACTCGCGCGGTTCAGCGACCGAAGATGGCCTGTTGAGTTTCACTTTGTCGAGGGTTGCTGGATCTCGAGTTCAGCCGGTTCGCGGTTTCGCGGTTCATCGTCAACGCCGTGGCTGCCTGCCATGCCTTGCGCTCCCACAATCACCGGCGCACAGCGCACAGCACAAAGGTCTCGCCTCCATGTGGCATTCTGGCGCGCCCCAAGTCGAGGTCCTGGGTTGCTGCAACGGCTGCGACTTGGCATATCTGAGCGAACTGGAAGCTGATTCGTACCCCGGTCGGTTTGACTTTTTGACAAGCCCGTGAACCACTCTTGCTCCCCCCTGCTCTGCCGCTACCAGACGCCGTGTGGTCGTGGTGAGTTGGCGGGGGTCGCATCGGACAAGAACGATGCCGCCTGGCTGGTCCTGGCTCCCCAGAAGTACCGGACCCGGCTGCCTTGGTTGCGTATGCAAATGAGGTGGGTTAGACGGAGGTACTGTGGATGTAGTGTATGTCCATGCCTACACAGCGACATGGACATCTCCCAAGCCGGGCCATCAGCCATCCCCAGGTGCGCATAGCTTAAACCCTAGCCGTTATGGGTCTTCCTCGGTTTCTTTCCAGGCCGTTCGAAAGAGCACATCACCTTCCATGCCCAGAAGTCGTGGGTTTGGTAAGTCGGCCCTCGAGTGATGCGCCCCCGGGAACTCAAGCCACGGCACTTCCGTCTGGGGCCCCGGCCCCGGCCCTGACCATGACCCGTTGACCCGCCTGGTTGACTGCCATGATCAGCCCCTGAGATCCCTGCCGAGCAATCTGCAGAGACTGATCCCGTCCAGTCAGGAAAGCGAGCAATACTTAAAAGAACTGGTTGGCTCCTCCGCCCTGGTGGGCAGCAGGATGCGGATACGGTCCCTTGATATTAACGCCATCCCCCCCCCCCCCCAATCTCCCATCATGGCCCACCAGCCCGGCTTTGCCATATTGTTCTGACACATCCCGACCGAGTGCAACCCAAGGCATCTTACTCGCCTCCTCGCCCGCTGCACCGTTTCCCCAGACTTGTCGGAGACGCCCCGCCGGACCCGTCTATCAAGAGCCGGGCCTTGGCAGCTCCTGAGCGCTCCTGAGCGGTTGATAAACAGCCAACGCCCTGCAGAATCCTCGACATTGTGTAGCAACACGAGATCGGATCTATTGCTTGGCCCCTTCTTCTAAGCCACCCAGGACCATCGCATCACACACCTCCCGCAGGTCTCACAATAACAAAAAAAAGTCTCGGGCCCTTCCACAGTGGTGGCAAGAGACGATCATCGACCTCTACACCAAAGCACGCGTGACACAGCTTCCCGACGGTGGCGGTTAAGCATACTCGTGCCGGACTCGACGTGGCTTCCCGCAGCTGCATGAAACGACTGTTCAGTTCTCCATAGCCGCGGAGCAAGTCTCAGTTCCACCAGCATCGGAACAATCGCCGTTGGCGATCCGGACCAGGGATCCAACCTAGGTAGCTTCTGCCCGGAGCTGCGCCGCCTAGACGAGACCTTCCCGCTGTTCGTGTCCCGCGGTGAGACACTCTCGCGTCCGGCCCAGGACCCGGCTGCCGGATTCGTGCCTGTGCTGCTGGAAGTCGCCGCCCTTTCTGTAAGGCTGCCCGGCTCTGGTTAAACCGACGGCCGGTTTCAAGCAACACAGGCTGACCAGGATTGCGGAGGACAGAGCCACGCCTGCCTGTCGTCTGTAGACTGCCCCCCAAATGTCTGCAGCGGTCGACTTTGCTCATCACAACTTTGGCCGCCGTACCCACTTGGATGGTATGGCTCAACATCATAACTATCACGAGCCATACGCTCCTGGGAACGGGCACTATGGCCAAGAACAGCCGTTTCAGCAGCCCTCCCAACCAAGGCAGCTCCCGCGGCTGCCCCCCATGTCCACCATGATTCCACCAGCAGCATCAAATCCTTCTCCTGTGCTTTCCAACAACGGCCGCGACGGCCCGTATCATGGCGGACGATCTAGCTACTACTCCGACTACGCGACCCCTTCGCCGGTTGGACAGACACCACCCCAATTTCCCATCCCAAACAGCGACCCTCACCCAATGTCGAAGCGGGCGGTGGACATTCGGCACTCCCCGAGCCTCTCGTCAGCAGCTAGCGATAGGTCAAACGAAGAAATGGCCCAGGAGTTGCGCCTGAGGCATATGGGCAACTTACACGACCCCCACAGCCAAGGCCCAGTGCCACGCCAGCCCATCCACTACCCATCACCGCGGTCAAGGGGAGGCTCCCTCCAGCACGACATGTCTCTTCCGCCAGTACTAGCCAAAGCCCCCTCGGCCACCTCCTATTCCTCCCCATCCATAATACCCAGCGGCCGCCTCCCGGCTCCACAACTGCCGCGTAGCCCACCGAGCACGCAGCCATCCACCCTCACCGCGGCAAGAACCCAAATTCCATGAGCATATTCCAACCTCCTCACCGGGGGCAGCAACAATAGCAACAACAATCCACACCACCACCACCACCACCACCCACCACCACCATCACCAACAGCAGCACCCCCAACGGGCAGCAGCTCCCACCACCACCACTCACACCCGGCACCACCGCCCGCGCCCCCACGCACCCCCACCTCCGAACACCGCATCACCGTCCGCCAACAACCCTCCGCCGCCCGCAGCTGCGGCTTCGGCGAGCGCGACCGGCGCGTGATCGACCCGCCGCCCATCGTGCAACTGACCATCCACGACGCGACCCTCAGCAAGGACGAGGTGGCGCGGCGCCTGCGCCACCAGTTCTCGGTCGTGCACTGCAGCATCTGGGACGAGAAGGGCCAGAAGGACATGAGCAGCATGCCGGAGGATTTCCGGCAGCAGCGGCGGCTGATGGGCACGCTGGTGGCCAGTCCGTTTGTGGGGCTGGACGAGAAGGGCGAGGAGGGCTGTTTTTTCTGTTTTCCCGACTTGAGCTGCCGCACGCCGGGGGTGTTTCGGCTGAAGTTTGCGTTGGTGGTGCTGGACCCGGCGAGGATGTGCACCGGGGACCGGTCGGCCATCGTGGCGACGGCGATGAGTGACAGTTTTCAGGTGTATAATGCGAAGGATTTTCCGGGGATGCAGGCGAGCACGTTGTTGACGAAGCGGTTGAAGGAGCAGGGGTGTTTGATTAGTATTAAGAAGGGGAATGAGAAGAGGGAGGTGGGTGGGCGGGGGGAGGAGGATGAGGCTGATGAGGATGGGGAGGGGAGGATGGCGGTGAG